ATGCTTGTGTATGACACTTTAAAAACCTTCAGTTATCCTTTTGTCTTATTTTAAATGATTTCTGTTAATAGGGTTTATTTTTAGAATAGTATGGTTATGCTTATATATTTTTACTTTACACAAGCATTCTAAGACAGTTATTTACCCTTTAAAACAATCATAGAATCTTAGAAGACATCTGAGATCCAGCTATCTCCTAGGACAAGAATGCTTTTGTTAGCAGCCTAGAGAGGTGATCATGAAGCATTTGTATATAAGAAAGGAAACTAACATTAATGACTGCCCATTATGTACAGTACCAAGTTACCTATATATTTAGCCACATTTATCAAATAAATGAAATTTCTCATGCATGATTGCTTTGAATTATATCTTAATTTAAAACAATTTATATACAGCAAACCAGTCATTGTTGCAATGCCTCTAATCCTAATGACTTGGGAGGCTGAGGCAGGAGGATTTGGAATTCAAAGCCAGCCTCAGCAACTTGCAGAGGTCCTAAACAACTTACCAAAACCTTGTCTCAAAAAAAAAAAAAAATAAGGTCTGGGAATGTGGCTCAGTGGTTAAGCACCCTTAGGTTAAATCCCTGGTATAAAAAAATTTACATACAGTATAATTTACCCTTTTTAATGTACATTTTGAGAAATGTATATAGTTGTAATTATCACCACAAGTAAGACATAGAAGAGTTCCAAGCACAATTGCTATTTAAATGTCAATTCATGAACAAGAATTTATTGGCTATTAATGCATCTAGTAGTCACTTATTAGTCTTTGGGGATAAGCAGGTGAGTGTGAAAAGGCAGAAATTAAAGGTATTATGCCCATCTCCAAAGAACTTCCATGATGTAATCACTGATACAGCTTCATACACATGAACCAGGCAAGTGAGGGAAGAAAACAAATAAGCAACCTACTTGGCAATAATCTCCATGAGATGTGGATTCTAGTCATGACATTGCCATTATGTGTCCTTGAGTAAGTCATTTATTATTTCTCACCTGGGTGGGCATTGTTAATGCAATAACTGGAAGGGATTGTTCCAAACAATCTCTAAGGTTCATGGTAATTATAAACACATGTGTTTCAAGTAGTGAGAGTTCAGAGTGATGATGGACAATTGGGAGGCTGGAAATGGCTTTTACAACATTGAGGAAGTCAATGGATTGACTCCACAGGGTTAGTGAATCAGGTTAAGTAGGAGGGATACAACATGGACCTGATAGAGGGGTATGAACTGTCATGGAGCTATGATGGGGGCAAATGCATAAATGTTGATCCAATTGAACAAAGAAGAACTGCAAGGTGTTATGGAAAAATCTAATGAGGTCAAGCTTTGAATTGTTGTGAGAGGGAGGGAGAGACATGAGAATTGAGAAGCTTGGTTGTCTCTCAAGCAAAGTCAGGAGTACACCACAATGACAGTGATCCACAACAATCTTTTACTGAAAACTTGCTGTGTGCATGCCCTCTCTGAGCCTGGGGATATGAGAGTACAAAACCCTGACCTTTTAGTTATTTATTGATCTTTAAATCACCCCAAAATTTAGTGGCTTGAAATAGCAACCATTTTATTTGCTTATAATTCTGTGGGTAGCAATTTGGGCTAGAATCAACTGGGTGGGTGTTCTATTCATCTTTCCTAGCATCCGTCATACAGTGACAGTTATGTTACAATGTGAATGGGGCTAAATGATCTGAGATGGTCTTAGTCACATGTCTGATGGTTGACTGTTGACTGAGCCTCTCTTCACATCATCTCTTTTGCTAGCCAGGCCTAGTTGCTTCAGGGTTCCCAGGGAGCAAGAGGGAAGCTATAAGACTTTAGACCTAAGCTCAGAAGTCACCCATAGTGACTCACACTGCATTTTGTTGGCCAAATGAAAACATGAGAACATCCCAGATTCAAAGAGTAGAGAAACAGATTCTCATTCTCTCTCTCTCTCTCTCTCTCTCTCTCTCTCTCTCTCTGAATCAAGGATTGAACTCAGGGGCACTTAACCCACTAAGCCACATCCACAGCTCTTTTTAAAAAATATTTTTATCCATTGTTGATGGATCTTTATTTATTTATTTATATGCAGTGCTGAGGATCAAACCCAGTGCCTCCCACATGCTAGGCAAGTGTTCTACCACTGAGCTATAACTCCAGCTCCTCAGCCCTTTTTTGTATTTTATTTAGAGACAGGAGCTCACTGAGTTGCTTAGCACCTCACTAAGTTGCTGAGGCTGGCTTGGAACTCACAATCCTCTTGCTTAGCCTCCCAAGCCACTGGGATTATAGGCATGCGCCACCATGCCCATCTCCATCTCTTGATAGGATCTGCAAAGTCACACTGCAAAAAAGTGTGCTACAAAAATTAAACAACATTGTGGCCAATTACAAACAACATTACTCTTATCACACCATCCCATTTGGGTAAATGAGTATTGAGGAAATTTAGTACTGTGGAGCTTCAGGGGTGTTTGGAATCACTGAGGTGAAAAAGATGAGCTTTTGAGGAACATACAGGATGGAACAAACCCAGAGGAATGTGGAGAACACTAGACAGAGGTGGTACAGAGGAGCACGATGACTCATGGTATGTTTAGACTTTAGAGAATGCACATTTGGATGGAGTGGGTAGAAAAGAGGACTTGAGAAATAATAGGTAAGGATGGTAGAAAGATTATAATTGGGTGTGTGGGGACTTTCACTACCAGGCTCTCAGAAGTAGGGATACTACTGTACTGTGCAGTGAGCAGTTAGAGTTTGGTGGCAGCTAGTGGCAGGGGTGGTAATAGGAGTATAAGGAAGAGGAGAGGATTTTAGAGACTGCATCTTTATGGACAATAGTATGAAAGGAAGTTGAATTATAGCTGGAGTGTGGTGGTACTGAGATCACTGCTAGACAGTCTTCCTAAAGGCAAGTACCTACATGGATTTTCCTTAAGGGACTAAAGAACAGAACTGGAGCCCTATAGGTTCATTTACTTAGTAGCATAAAAAGTTTCTTCTAGATTTAAGTTAGTTATCCTAGAAAGAGCTAAATTTGGGCTTATAACATGGATAAACACATTCCTACCTCTCCTGTGTAAGATGAGACAAGCAGGATATTGTTGTTTACAGTCAAAGGTTTGTCTATATTTGAAAAAACAAAATTCCTGATGTTCTTTAACATTTTAAGTGGATAAGGAATCACATTGGGAAAGCTAGAAACCATGATGGAGCCAGGGTAAAGTTGCTTGCAATCTACTGTGAAGTCACACTGCTCAGGTAGACCATATAGCTATATTTTTCACAGTGGCAACATGGCAAAGCAATAGTTTTCTTTTTGACAGTCTGCCAAATGCATATTTCTTTTCCAACTGTTTTTCTCCCCATAGGACTTATGTGGCCATTAGAACACATTACATGTAATTTTTCACACAACATAAAAATAATATTTGGTTTGTTAATTAAATAGTAGGCAGTGGATCAAATCCAGTATGTGCAACGAGGAACCTACACATCCTTCTTTTCTTATCAGTTTAGTTTTGTAATGTTTGCTCATTAATTGAATAGTATGCAGCAATTCTCCTTCATGTATTTGTGGGAGATAAGATGTAGAGAACTTGAGGGTTCTTACAACTCTGCAAGTGGCAGTTTAGTCATATAACTGCAAATCATGTGTGTATGAAATTGCTCAGAGTAAGAAAATATGGCATTAGGTATCAAAGTGAATAGATAAGACAGGATTTGCTGGACATGGTGATGCATGCCTGTAATCCTAGCAACTTGTGAGGCTGAGGCAAGAGGATTCCAAGTTTGAGGCCAGCCTTGGCAACTTGGCAAGTTCCTGTCTCAAAATTAAAAAAAAATCCAAAAGTCTGAAGATACAGTTCAGTGGTAAACCATTCCTGGGTTCAACCCCTAAGCACCAAAAGTAAAGAAAGGACAGGATTTAATGGGGGAATATGGAGTAAAGGATGGAGCTCAAAACAGTGGTGTTTGGGACAGGGAAAGGGAGGGTCTCTTGCTGAAACAGAATTTGCAGAATTGAAGAACTGGCACAGGCAGGATTGGTGGGACAAAGAGGGAAGGATGTTTCTGTTATGAAGAAAGGTTTCAGGTGAATGTAAATGTTGGAATGTCAGTGGTGCAGAGAAGATGCCATAAGGAAACAGTTGAAGTGGGAAGAGACTGTGACTAAAGAATTAGCACAAGCCAGGTGTGGTGGCACATGCCTGTAGTCCCAATTGGCTCAGGAGGATCTTGAGTTCAAAGCCAGCCTTAGCAATGAGGCCCTAGGCTAGTGGTTAAGTAGCCCTGGATTCAATCCCCGGTACCAAAAGGGAGAAAAATAAAGAACTAGCACAAAGGAGTGTTTTGGGGTAATGGAACTATCTGTACATTGATTGTAGTGATGGCTACACTGATCTATCTATGTGTTAAAAAGCACAGAACCAAAAAATTCCAATTTACTGTATATTTTTTTTTAAAAGTCAATAGGTCATTTTCTTTTGTCAATTTATGTATTTACTATAACAATTCCACCTATCACTAACAATAGAGTATTAAATTAAAATAGGTACACTATGATAAGAAACAAAACATCATTATCAAATCACAATTCAAATTAAATGTCAAGAGTCATCTCTTTAAATAAATAAACATTCCCAAAAAGTTAAATAAATTTGGATGTTTATTTCCTTAAAAATAAAATTATTTTACTAAATTGTTAGGTGGCATGATATTTCATATAGCAATTTGTATAGTAAAACAAATATAAGTACAACATTAATCCTAGGAAAGAGTTATGTGAAAGAATGAGGATGTCAAGAACATCTATGGTTCTTACTATAATTTTAAAATTTTTACTAGAATGCATTCATGTATCATTAGTATAATTTAAAATAGAATAATTAAAAGGATTTTTAAATCCTTATAGATTGAAATGGTGATATTTTGCAAATTGCAACATCTTTCCTTCCACAGGCCTTCCATTGTCCTTGGAAGTCTTAGTTACTCTACTTACCAGGTCAGGCTCGTATTCTACTCAAACCTAATGTCTTGCTCATAGGGGGCATTCAACCAATGTTTGCTGAACTGTATTGTACCTGGCAATGTGGAGAAAAATGACAAATGATCACTAACAAAACTTATAATCTAGACAGACTAAATCATGCTTTAATTTTGAATGAGGCAATTACTAAGTGCTAATGACATGCTCAATAATTACAATGGTAGACACAGAAATTTGGAAGACAGCAAGACAAACACAACATAATGCCAGTGGTGTGGAGGTTTTAAAGCCTAAAACAGGTAGAACCCAAACCAAAATCAATCATTACTGGCCCCCTAAGCCATAAAACCACAAAATTCAACAGGGCAAGAAAAAGAGTAAAAATGGGGAAAAAAACCCTAATCTGTATTGAGTTTCTGTGTGTCATACACTATATTAGACAGTAATGCAGTTGAAAATTTTAGGACTCAGATTTCAGGTCAGATATGTATAGCCCTGGAAAGCCAACATTTTCTCCCATACAACAAGAAAGAAACCAGACAAACTAGAAGGGAACTACTTTCCTTGGAACTATCAGAGAACTAAGGTCACAGAACAAACCAGTATCCTGGTATCTGGAGAGACAGGGTCCTGAAAGGAGACAGATTCGAGCATACAAGCCTGTAAATATTAAACTAGAAATTCTGACAAATTACTAGAGGCCAGAGTGTGAAGCTCCTGAGTTCCACAAAGGGAGGTTTCCACCTTCTTGTGAGCTTTTCCTCAGTAATTGTACCAGGCTCTCACAGTGAGGATACGTGAAAATTCTTACGGAAAGCTCTCATGGTAGTACTGGCAGGCTGAGGAAATCAGCACCCACTGAGAAACCCAATGAACCCTTTTCTTTATCTCTGGCACAGAACCAAAGGCTTAATCCTCAGGGGAAGGGCTTTAAGACCTATAGCTTAAGAACACTGGTGGATACCCACTGCAGCTTGGGGGAAAGGAACCAGGGGAAAAAAAAATAAGCTTCTTCATCTCTGGAGGAAGAATAAGAAATCTTTTAAGACCCAGGTTTTGCCTAAGTATCAGGCTTAATCAGATCATCAGAGAACTCTTTCCTCCCCTACCAATCACCACCTGGCAAATTAGCTACCTGGATAAGAACAGCAGAACACGATTGGGTGAGTTGTATAAGGTAGCTCTTATGATGTAGCACAAAGGAAAAACCCAAAGCCACGAAAGAGTCAAAATGAAGTTATCACTAGAGGTACTGGAAATCTCTGGTGCCCATAGCAAAAATAAACATTGAAAACAGGCCAATTTCTGACTACATTAACCCAAATCTTCATACTAAAGGCCTAGGTAAAAGGAACCCATGTTCTTCTCCAAACATATAGAACATTTACCTCAGCATCTCCTGCCTATGGTTAGCTTTTAGTATGTTTATAAAAAAAAGCATAATAAAAGGATAAAAAATACTCCAAGTGACAAAACAATCATCAGATACAAACTCAGCATGATGCAGATATTTGGGACTACTGGAAATCAAATTTAAAAGAACTGGGGCTGGGGATTTGCCTCAAGCAGTAGCGAGCTCGCCTAGCATGCATGCGGCCCAGGTTCGATCCTGAGCACCACATACAAACAAAGATGTTGTGTCTGCCGAAAACTAAAAATAAATATTAAAATTCTCTCTCTTTAAAAAAAAGAAATTTAAAAGAATTATGTTTTATATATTAAAGACTTTAATGGAAAAAGCAAAGCCAGGTGCAGTGGCATATGCCTGTAATCCCAGCAACTCGGGAGGTTAAGGCAGGAGGATCCTAAATTCAAGGCCAGCCTCAGAAACTTAGTGAGACCTGAAGAAAATTGGTGAGATCCTATCTCAAATTAAAAAATAAAAATGCTGAGGATGTGTCCCTGAGTTCAATCCCTGATCCTTGGTACCAAACATAAAAAGTATGATATATTAAGACCAGATAGATAATTTTAGCAAACCTATAACAAAGATCAAATGGAAATACTAGAAATAGAGTTAAAAAATGGGGGACTGGGGTTGTGGCCTAGTGGTGGAACACTCATCTAGCACATGCAAGGTGCTGGGTTCCATCCTCAGCACCACATAAATAAAATAAATAAATAAATAAATAAAGGTATTGTGTCCAACTACAACTAAAAAAATTATATAGATGTATATATGTGTATACATATATATATACATACACACACACACACACACACACACACACACACACACACACACACATAATGGGCTCAAGAGTACAGCCAAGATCAGGTCAATAAAAATTAGAACAAAAAGAGACAAGAGTGAAAAAATAAAACAGCATTGAAGAACTATGGGACAAGAACAAATCTGTAATTGGAATCATAGAAGGAGGAAAACAACAGGACAGGAAAATTATTGGAGAAATCAATGGCTAAGAACTTTACAAAATTAGTGACAGATAAGAAACCAGATGTTTAAGAAGTTCTGAGTGCCAAGTAGGATAAATATGAAAATAAGTTTTTAAAGCCACACCTAGGCATATCATATTCAAGCTGCTGAAAATCAAAGACAAAAAGAAATTCTTAAAGGTAGCCAGAGGAAAAAAAGACACATTAGCTAGAGAGAAACAAGGATTCAAAATTATAGCAGACTTCTCATCAAAAACCATGCAATAATGGAGTAATATGTTCAAAGGTGGGGAAAAACTTGCCAACATAGAACTCTATATCCTACAAATGTCCTCCAAAGTGAAGGAAAAATGAAAACTTTCTCAAACAAACAAAAACATGATTTACTGCCTTCAGACCTGCTCTAAAAGAAATGCTGATGGAAATTCATCAGGCAAGGTGGGAAACTGGCATGAACAAAATTAATGAGCACGGAAAAAAATAATAAATGGGGGCTGAGGTTATAGCTCAATTGGTAGAGCATTTGCCTTGCATGTGTGAGGCACTGGGTTTGATCCTCAGCACCACATTAAAAAAATAAAGGTATTATGTCTTTCTACAAAAAAAAGAGAATAAATTAATGCAGAATATAACCTTTTATTTAAAAATGTTAGAAAAACTAATTTTCCATGTACTCATCAAAGGACTACCTTGCAAGCAGGCCTTGTAAAGATAGCAGCCTAAAGCCTAGCCTACTAGGTTAACTGTTTTCTTTACCAAACCAAAACAACAAAAAAAATATCAACAGCCATCATTATACTTAATGATGAAGGATGGAAGGCTTTCTAAGAATGGAATAAGTGGTTCTCTCTCACTACTATAATTCTGAAAAAGAAAAAGAAAGTCCAAATACTGATATTGCTTGATTTAAAGACTATAAAGCTATAGTAATTAAGATAGTGTGTTAGGACTTGAGTTATGGTTAAGTAGTAAAGCACTTGCCTAGCATGAACAAAGCCCAGATTTCAATCCCCAGCAACACCAAAATACAAAACAAAAAAACAAAAAATCAGAAGTATATCTCTATGAGGCATTTCTAGTGGGGGGATAGAAATATTTTTTGTGCAGGAATAGCTCTGACCCAGTCAATTTAGGAAGGAGTCCATGCAAATTCACATTGTCAATACCATATGCTATTTAAAAAAAATATTTAGCTGGGCATAGTGGTGTGTGACTGTAATTCCAGCAGCTCAGGAGGCTGAGATAGGAGGATTACAAGTTCAAAGTTAACCTCAGCAATTTAGCAAGGCCCTAAGCAACTAGTGAGAGAACCTGTCTCAAAATAAAAAAATAAAAAGGGGATACAGCTCAGAACAAAAAACAAAAACAAACCCAACAACAATGAAAAAACAAAACCATTTAGCCAAACACAGTGGTGTATGCTTGTTATCTTAGTGGCTCAGGAGGCTGAGGTGGGAGGATAGCAAATTCAAAGCTAGTCTTAGTAATTTCGTGAGGCCCTAAGCAACTTAGCAAGACCCTGTCTAAAAATAAAATATAAAAAAGGGCTAGGGATGTGGCTCAGTAGTTGAATGCCTCTGGGTTCAATCCCAGGTACCAAAAAATATTAATTTTTCAAATAGGGAAATATATCCACATAGCTTAAAATTCAAAAGGTATGCATAAAAGTTTATGTACCATCCACTCCCTGGCCATGCGTGCCCCCAAATCATCAGTGTCTTGAATGCTCTTCCAGAAAAAAATTTGTCTATATATTTAAAAATGTATGGGCTGGAGATATAACTCAGTTCAGTTGGTAGAGTGCTTGCCTCGCATGCACAAGGCCCTGGGTTCAATCCCCAACACCACAAATAAATAAATAAATAATAAAATTAAAAATATATATTATTGCCCTCATTCACTATTTATTTCACATAAATGTGGCATACAATACATACTGTTTCTTGCTTTTTCTCACTCTGTACTCCAGGAGATCATGCAATATCAGTGTGATACTCCACTGGGGTATTACAAGCAATATTGCTATTATAAGCAATATTTCAATTAATATGGAAGTATCTGTTGAATAAATTTCTACAGGTATTTGCTGGGTCAAATGATATTCATGTTTATAAATTTTGATGGCTCTTTCCAAGTCACTGACTTTTAAAATATCAGGGATTTTTCATTTTTAATTTTTATCCTAGGAGGAAATAGAAAAGCTAAGATTCTATCACCAGGTAATTTTCTGGAAGAATGTACACCTCTAAGCTGCATAAAATGAGCCTTGTACTCAACTTTCCTACATATCCTTTGTAGGATTCAATTGCATCTTTATGTAATACATTTCAGGCCTCCAGCTGTTGTAAAGTCTATGTTAGTTATGTGAAGAATGTTACCTCTGAGATCTTCATGAGCAAAGGTCAAAAGCTGATGCCCCAAATTGGTGGTTCCTGGCCACTGACTTCACAGTACAATGCTGGATTCTTCACTGCAACCACAAGAAAATTTTAAAATCTTGACCAAATAAAAGATATCTACAGAGATTCTTTGTTGTTATTACAATGCCCAAAGAAGGATTTCTTAGATAAAAATTCTAAAATACATAAAGGTTTCAAAGAGAGTTTGCAAATGTTTTCTCTCATCTCTTAGATGGTAGTTGATTCCCAAATTGTACATCTTTTTGCTTAACTACAAAATCTACTTTATTACACTAGGATTTTTGTGATAAAGGTTGAATGGGGGTTGAGGAAACCCAGAGGTTCCTTTGATAATAGCTACACAAGATTAGTGAGCAGTTTAGCCACTCATATAAGAATATTTATGTTCAGGGGTGGGGTTGTGGCTCAGTGGTAGAGTGCTTGCCTACCATGTGTGAGGCACTGGTTTCAATTCTCAGTGCCACATATAAATAAATGAATAAAATAAAGGACCATCAAAATGTAAAAAAAATTTTTTTAAAGAATATTTATGTTCAATATCACACTGTCGAAAAACAAAAACAAAAGAAAACCACACTATCTCCCTTTGGCATTCTCCTAGAAAAACTATCACTCTGCTTCATGCTTGGTAGAAAAGAATGTGTTACTAATAGCACGATCATATTACTTAGTTGCTAGAAATCACTATATTCAGAAATGAGTATTTAATAAGATTTATCAAAAGTTGAGATTCTAACATTATTAATTATTATTCATTACTTCAATACTGGCCTCAGGTTTTTATGCATCTTCTTGTATCCCTACCTTTGAATGGTCCCCTCCTGCAATGTCTCTGGGCTTGGCCAGGGAAGCACTTGTGTGCTTTAGCTGATGGAACAACGGCAAACTTGACAAAAGCAGACACTTGAAAAGTACTTGTATACTGGTGCTTGCTCTCACTTGCTACTCTTTGAGACTAGCAATGTTAACAAACCAGCTAGAGGAGACCATGTGGAGCAGAGATAAGTAACTCTAGTTTAGGAACTCCTACTGAGACCAACCAGCCTTCTAACAATCAGATGTGTGAGCAAAGCCATTTTAGATCATCCAGCCACCAACTAACCACCCTCTTCACCTAAAAATCTAAAAGTAAATTTGTTTGTTGTCTCAAAGTAAAAAAAATAATTAAAAAGGATAGGGATATTGCTCACTGGTTTAAGCACCCCTGGGGTTCAATTCCTGGTACAAAAAAAAAAAAAGGAAATATGTTTGTGGCTCAGTACATATGGCAAGGGCTAACGAACACTGGTATTTCTGCCATGCAGTTTACTCTATACCTGAGAAATAGTTTCAAATACAAAAACCTCCAGTATCTGGTCTGGGTGCAAACCCAGTGACTCAGGAGGAGACAGGAAAATTGCAAGTTCAAGGTCGGCCTACCAACTTTCCAAGAACCTGTTTCAAAATAAAAATAAAAAGGACTGGGAATTTAACTCAGTGGTAAAGCACTTCTGGGTTCAATCCCCAGTACCACAAAAACAAAACAAAACAAAAAACTCTAGTACCTGGATGAGAATAAGTAAATATGTAAGTATTGAAAAAATGCTTAAGTCTTCCCAGATTCTCACAAATGTGCTGTCTGCCATCACAGATGGCACACATACAAAAAACAAAAAAACATGACAAATTTCCATTTAGTCACTGAAGTATCTTTATCATGATATATTTAAACCAAAGTCTTATACTTGACGGTTTCATTTCTAACACTGAACAACAACTCAGTTTCCAGGAATTCCTTTTTCTCCCAATTACATTTTTTAACCCATTTGACAGGGGCTTAGTGAAAGCTGAAAAAAAACTCCCTTAATGTAGCCTAAAAAGCATCTGCTATATAAGCCTAATTAAACCTCTTTCTAGAAGCATACAGAAGGACCAGCTTCTTCTAGAATCACAGCATTTTAGCCATGTTCATAGTGGACACTAAAAAAAAATTTAAGCTAGGTGTGGCAGTGCATGCCTGTAATCCCAGAGACTTGGGAGGCTAAAGAAGGAGGATCACAATTTGGAAGCCAGCCTCAGCCACTTAGTGAGGCCCTCGGCAATTCAGTGAGACCCTGTCTCAAAAATTAAAAATAAAAAAGGGCTCTGAATTTGGCTCAGTGGCAAAGCACCTCTGGGTTAAATCACTTGTACTAAAAACAAACAAACAAACAAAAACTTCTTACAACCTACACATTTAGGCCAGAAACTTTGCCTCCATTGGCTCACAAGGTGCAACACCAAAGAAATGAATTACTTAAACCATTTTTGTTTAGGCCTCACCACATGCTTTTCTGGATTAAACACACATATCATGTGGTTTAAAAAGAGTGAAAAACACCTTCAGCAGGCTCCCATTGTCTTTGGAATAAAACACATCTTCATAATGAGGTCCCATAAGGCCTTGTCAATCTTCCCTGGCCTATCTCATCTCTTTCTCTAGGTCCTAGCCAAACCTCTCTGGGTCCTTTCCATGTCTCTTTCCCACCTAAGTGTCCTCACAACACATGCTATTCCATTTGCCTAGCAATTCCTTCTCTCTACCTTTTACCTTGCTTATTCCTGATCATTCTTTTTTTTCTTCTTCAATATTTAGTTGTAGATGGACAGAATACCTTTATTTTATTTATTTATGCGGTGATGAGGATCAAACCCAGTGCCCCACACATGCAAGGCAAGCGCTCTACCTCTGAGTCACAACCTCAGCCCCCCTGCTCATTCTTGAGGCACCAAGGACACCTTGTTAGTGTGCCTCACAGAGGAATTCTACCTCTTTCTTGCTGTGTGACCTTGGACAAAGTATCTCTGCTTCACCTTTCTAAGCCTCACACCTCAGTGACATAACCTATGTGATTAGCACAAAGGAAATGATTAACAAATCATTGCTGCTGCTATTATTATTCCATACAATAATCGCCATCATTTTACCTAGTACAATAGCAATTAAAACATTTATTTGTTGAAAAAATAGAAACACCCTCTTGGATCCCACCTTAATGCCTAATATTTTTCATGCTATTTCCCCCGAATATGCCATTTTTAAAGGGAAGATGAGATGAATGTTTATGGAGCATCTATTACCTCAATTAATCCTCACTACCACCTTCAGAGATGCGGTTTAGCGGACGAAGAAACTAAGGCAATGTTAAATTCAGAGATGTGGTTTAGAAGATGAAGAAACTAAGGCAAAGTTAAATAACTAGTCAAGATCAAAGGTAGAACAAGGATTCCATTCCAAGTTGGCCTGAGGCCACAGCCTGGGATGGATGAATGACACCAAAGGCTTCCAAAACACATGAACCTCATCATCTAAGAGGAGCGGACCTCAATGAAGACATATCTTCATATTCATATCCATTCAAATGACTCCCAGATATCAACTCTTCAGATCCTTAAACACGCTGGTATTCCCAGCACCCTTAGGAACCCCATCAGTAGAACACTCCTCTCCCTAACTATGAGAAGATTCCTTACTTTCTTTCATTGGATACTGAGCTCTCAAGAGGAAGAATATTTTTCACCTCTTTTACCCCTAGCAAATAGAATGCACCCAATACTTGTTTGTTGAATGAATTAAATTAAACTGTTAGAGAATATATTATGACTGCAAAGTTGAGGAGTAAATTTTCACAACAATATTAAAATCTGGCATAGTTAGGAAGAAAATGGTGAGAAAAGGGGGGTTTAATCTTAAACACTTTTACAATTGATAATGATTTCTATATCTAGCACCAGAGAAAAAGGGGGTTTAATCTTAAACACTTTTACAATTGATAATGATTTCTATATCTAGCACCAGAGATTCCACATGATTTACAAATGTGTACTTCATAGCTCTAGGGCCCTGCCCCAATACCAATACTCTGCTATACCTGGTGTCTGCATCTGAGACACTTCACAATAGGATGGCCTTGACAAGTACCAATCTCTCAATGGTTACTCTCAAATGACTGGGGAAAAGAAACAGCAAATGACAAAGCAAATAAAATCAACTGCTGATAACTTGTGACCTTGGGTAAAGGGAATACAGTAAGTTTTTGTACCAATCTTGCAACATTTTTGTAATTATAATGTTTTATCAAAATTTGTTTTTAAAATCTAAAAAAAGGATAATATTAATAAATTTCCCAGGAAATTCCAGCACATAAGGTCCAGTGTATTGGCCATGCTGGTACCATATTCTCTTATTAACTGTTTCAAAAACACATTCCAGTCTCATGTCTATCAGGCAGTATCAAGAGAAAGGAGCTCCTTGAGTAGCAGGGCATAACCATGACTTCTGGGTTGGAACAGAGATTAAATTATTGCTGTTTTCAAGTATTTATGAACTCACAGGTGCCTCCTATTGGTCAAAACCCCAGTACAATTTCCCCATACCAGGCCAATTATTTTCTTTAAGGCATACTAGAACCCCCCAAGGACCCTCAGGGGCCTGTCATCATCCTCAGAGGGACAGCCCTCTGAGTTCTTACCTTCCTTTTCCCAAGCCTAGCTAAGGGATCAGGCATGTTTTTCTCAGGACCCTTCTTTCTTGCCCAACATAAGCACAGAGACAATGGCAAGAGCTTTGTTGTTACTGTCTATGGAAAGACCTATAGGGAGGAAGCAAAAATAACCATGGGGAATTCACAAAGATTGTAGAAAACAGAAAACTCAAAGCAGTATTACTAGCTCTGTAATGACCACTTGACAGCAACATCTTATTCAAAACTTCTAACCACTCATGCCAGATCCTTCCCAACCTACAAACCAGAATGGTTTAGCTTTCTCAGATACTGTAACTGGAACAACAGAAACTTGTGAGCCATTCCTGTGCCCCAGTTTCAGGAGAGTTCCAGGGCTGGGGATGAAGCTCAATAGTAGAGTGCTTGCCTAGCATGCACTGGGCCCAGAGTTCAGTTCTCAGCACCAGAAGAAAAGAAATTGCCAGGACAGTGTCAGATGTGGATCACCAAACACCCACCTCTCACCTACAAAATAATGTAAATAAAGTTCATAGCAAATTATTCCCAATGAGAGGTTTTCTTTTTTTCTTCTTCATTACTTTGCAGTGCTAGAGATCAAACCCAAGACCTTGTATATACTAGGCAAGTGCTCTATCGCTGAGACACATCTCCAGCCCAAGATTTTCTAAAATGTAAGTTAGCATGTGACTTCTATTTTTCTTAGCTCCTGGTGTTGTACAAGCTCCATGAGGAGGTAGATACATTATGCACCATGGTAATGTTCAATCTCATTTTTAAAAATATTTATTTTTTAGCAGTTTTTATTTTGTTTACTTATTTTTATGTGGTGCTGAGGATTGAACCCAGGGCATTGCATGCTAAGTGAGCATTCTACCACTGAGCCACAACCCAAGCCCCCTCAACATCATTTTTACTCTGATTCTCTGCACCCCTGATCAAGGCTTGTTAAAGAGAGCATATCTTCACAAACACCTGATGCATGATGCTTCCTGACTCTTCCTGAAACTCTTTCCCCCAACAAGATGCTTGCTTAGTTCCAGGGAAGTAATAAAGAAGAGATGGCTTTATGTAGTTTAGAAGAGAAATGGGTTGTTAAAATTGGTGGGACACAAGAAAGAAAAGATAAACCTTATTAAAGAGCTGGGTATGTAATGTCTGTAATCCCAGGGGGTTAGGAGGATGAAGCAGGAAGGATCACAACTTCAAAGCCAACCTCAGTAACTTAGTGAGACTGTCTCAAAATAAAAAGGGTCTCACTAAGTTGCTAAGGCTGGCCTCAAACTCATGATCCTCCCATTTCAGCCTCCTGAGTCGCTGGGGTTACAAGGTGTGCCACCACTCCAGAACAAAATTCACTTTAAATAAAAGAGAAAATGGTTTATTGTGGAGGTAGAATACTCCTAGGCAAAATAAGAAAAATCTATTTTCAATCACACAATGCTATATAAAAGCACAAGAACTACCCTGCTAGAAGGTTAGGAAGGCTGGAACCCGCACTCCCAGTTATCTCCAGATATGAAAATATTAAACTAAAAATGCGCTTTGTTCAGCCCACTCTGTTCTCATCTGCCCCCCATCCCCCAACCCCCAGGCGGATGAGAAGTGGCTGCAGGGAAGGTATTTAAGAGGTGAACTACTCTGGGAAAGTTGATTCTGGTTTGCTTAAACTGAACGACAATGTTGTGCAACCAGTTTTTCCCTAAATTTTTCCCCCCTGCTTTAGAGAGAAGCAGTTATCTTTATCAGACTGAATACAGGGAATGAGGTCGCCTTCCCCTCCAGGCCATTGGAATCACTGTCAACACGGTTTTGATTTTTTATACAATCAGACCATGAAGGGGAGAGGGGAGCGGGGATCTCATTCTCAGCTTTACAGATGTACGCATCTAACAGGAGTAGGGGGGAAAAATTAAAATCCTCGAGCACATCTGAGGCTACCGATTTCCTGGCAACTCGGAAAGCCAAAGGAGCGGCCAAACAAGTTTCTTGACAAATACCTAGGAGCTACATTCGTCCCAGAGCTGCACAGCGATATAAACTTTTAAACATGCCTCCACATACCATCACTTACATTCACTCACTAGAGATCCCGCCCCCCTTTCCTTCTCAAATATTAAACACAGGTTGCCCTGTGCAATTTAAAGCCAGACTTAACTGAAGCAATGGCTCTGTTCTAAAAAGTGGGAGAAAAAGATTGCAGGAGAAAGAAAAGAATAGAACTCTGGTCCCTACAGCAGAGGGGATAAAACGAACTCGAGAACTGGGCAAAAAAGTTAACAACTCTGCCTTACCCGGCGGTGGGAAAATTTCCCCGTAACTTGCAAAGCCCTTACAATTGATTTTCCCACCCCCGGGACCGCTGAGCGCTCGGCAGCTGCGGACTCGCAGCGTCCGAACAATGACTGAAGAAGGGAAAGTTCGCCGGCCAGGGAGCCCACGCTCCCGCTCGGTTGGCACCCAGGCTCCCTGAGGTGCCTGGCCGCTCCCCGCACCTCAATCCTTCCCTCTCCATGCATTCGGTTCTTCCCGCCCCCCGGTGCTGAAACGGCCGGGACGCGCCCTCACTCTCCAGAGCATCCGACCCCAGGCGGCCGACAGAGCAAGCCCTCCCGCCACGAGTCTGCCCCCTTGAGCCCCAATACCATGCAGAGGACAGGGTGGGAGGGGACGCCAAGAGGGGGCACCGGAGGGAACAGCGGCAACAGTTATGGCGCTCAATTCTTTCCCGGTGTAGCCGGGAGCTATACCGAGCTCGCGTGTCCGCCCCCGCCCCCAGCCTGGGCCACCAGGCATTGCCCTGACCAGTAAAGAGGCCACCAAGCACTTTACCTCAGCCCACACACGTTCTTGGCCCGAAAGCTCTGAGGACGCCAGAGGCGACCGCTATGTAAAGCCAGAGCGATCTAGAGCTCAGCGAGGCCGTGCCGGGACACGGAGAGCAGGGACACTGCGCTCCGCGCCACCCGCTTCCCACTCCGCGAGGCCGCCACTCCCGCTGCCTACCCGGCGCGACGTCGCGCCCCCAACCTCGCTTGCGCCGCGTCTGGCCTGTGGCGCCTACCTTCACGCAGCTAAATCGCGGATCCTTCCCGGCTCCACACGGGGGCCCCCTGCAATGTGCTGGGCTAGTCGGGCAGGGGTGGTAACCGCCCCCCTGACCGCCTGCTTTCTTCTTTTCCCTCCCTCGCACCTGCCCCCTAATCCCCTCC